TTCAATGCAGGGATGTACAGCCACTACCTAGTTTTTGTGACCCTTCCTTCTCTCTCTCTTCTACCTCTCCATTTTAAGGGAATATAGGTAGAAAGACTCAAAGTGGAGGTGGGTGTCGGTACAGGGACAAAGGAAACTGGGCGTAGGAAGAGAGGGTGCAGGGAACAAGTGAAAGAGAGAATAAAGATTGGTGTTACCATGTCCTTAATTCTCATTTTTGCTGTGAGCTGGGTCTCCTCAAATAGACTGTTGGTTCCCTGGAACACAGATAATGGTTCCTGTGTTTTGAGGTCTCTCTCCTGACAACATTTAGTACAAGTGCCCCATTCTGTGTAAGAGATTGAGAAAGAAATACTTTATTTCCCCCCAAATGAATGAATGAATGGACAAAAATTAAATGCAGTATCAGCTTACGTGTTTCTAACTCAGCTGTCTGGCAAACTTACCTATCTGGAACATAATGGAAAAGGACCAGAAAGTGTGCAAAGAAAATGCACAGGGTCAAAAAAAAAAAAAAAAAATGCACAGGGTCATGGGGTGATCATTGTATTTGTTTTATTGAGGGTTTATTATGGGCCAGGCATTGTATTAAGTGCTTTGCATGCATTATTTTATTGAATCCTATTTGGTTGCACTTTCCATTCCTATTGCACTTTCCATTCCATAGACAAATACATAACTCGCCTACGGTTCTAACCCAGCTCTGTGTGACTCAAGTCCATGCACGTAACCAGCTTTCCAGAGCTGGGGTACTGTATGCACTGACAAGCCCCCTCCAGTGCTCGGTAAGGCCCCACACTCGCCCAGTCATTTCGAAAACTTATTTTGCCCACAGCAGTGACACCCAAGGATCTCTATTCTCCAAGGCCACAGCAGAGCAAAGGCAGCAAAGGAGGAAAACCTCCTCAGAGGCCGTTTCATAAGATGCTAATTTACAATTTGACTCTTTTTTCCTTTCCTTTTTTTCCTTCCTCCCTCCCTCCCTCCCTCCCTCCATTCCTTCCTTCCTTCCGACAAAAATGATGGTCCTAGAATAATGATCACTTGGGTTCTGGTTCTGGCAAACTGTCCTATAATATGTGTTTTCCAGAAGATCCACCATATTGTAAACCAATGCCGTTGAAAACCGATAATGATAGTATCCTCAAGAAAAGGTTATGCACAACATGTTCAAAATAGAAGTTAAAGAGGCATAAATCTGATTGTAAAATAGTCCCTTCTAAAACTATTACAGGAAAATAAAAGCCAAGAACTTAATAAGATAAGAACCGAGATATGTGCAAAATCCAGGGTCCTGGATAGCAGAGGCCATGCTCCAGACTAGCAGTAGTTTCCAGACATCTAGATTTCATGGATGAGGAAAAAAATATAGTGCAGGTGGAAGAACTAACACAGATGTGTGTTAAATGTTAACTTTGCTAAATAAAAATGTTTAAAGAGAGCAACCACCATCTAGCATCACCTCCCTCTAATTGAATGGATGACACTGGAAGAGTCAAAGAAACAGTAAGGACGACATTTCAGAATGAATTTAGAAACATTGTCCTTATTTTCTTCTGTAATTTGAATAAAAAAACAGAACTGCAAGGACCTTAGCAAGGCATTTATAAAGGGCTCAAATATTGATGTTAGTTATGACATTTACTTGTTTGAGTAACCAGATCTCTAGCTGAACTTTTCTTATGCCAAATCCTGTGCTTGGAATCGAGAAAAACAAAGAAACAAAGAAACATAAAGCAAACAAACAAAACAGAATCAGGTATGGTCCTAACTCGGCAGAGTCAGAGTCATCTGAAAATTCCCAGATTTAGACAGATGCTCAGTATAAGGGTGATGATGGTCCTGGGTCGTCAGGGAATGCAGCTAGGCCTGTAATCGCGGACATGGTGACTTGCATGACATTCGCTCCCCAAGAGGGCCAGTGAGCAGAAGACACGCTCAACTTCCTGAGCCCTGACCCTCAGCCACAGGAGCTGATGCGTCCAGGGGAGCCTTTGAATCAATGAATTATCTTTGGAAATCTTGGGGAGAGAGAAGTTGGAATTCTGGAAATATATTCTTTAGGATGACTTTGTACTCATTAAGGTTCAATGTATTCAACTTTGCCACTGTGAAGAAGTATATTATCATATACTTGCAGGGATTTTAAAGTTTGGAAAAAGCGAAAACAGCCAGGGGAGATATTTCAGATGATTTTAACTGGCCTCAACTTATGAAAAGCTAAAGATTGAATTCGGGCCCTCAGTTCTAAAGCAGTTGTCCACACTTCCACTCTTGCCCTCAGAACCTTGAATTCAAGCATCTTAGCAGTGTTGTATGAAACAGCCCTTGGAGTTGATGCTCAGCCTGCACTGATATGCTTGACTTCTCCTCCTCCAAAGGGCGCTTCAGATGTTTTGTTCTGTTTTGTTTTTTTGACTGCGCCTTGTGGCACGCAGGATCTTAGTTCCCCAACCAGAGATTGAACCTGCGCGCCCTGCAGGGGAAGCCGGAATCTTAACCACTGGACCGCCAGGGAAGTCCCAAGGAAGCTTCAGTTTTAATCAGACTAGGCTTCTAGGCATCCTGCTCTCCTTCAACCACTGTGTTTCCTCCTGCTGCTATGCATGTGCATCTTCCTGTTCTCCTTAATTCTTTCTTAATATCTGGTTGCCCTACAATGCTCCTCATGTTTTCCTTGAGCACTTGATTTCTCCTTGACCTTTCCTTTAAAATTCCCTGGCACCTAGCAATCAATTCATTGCTCTGCCCACCATTGTTTCATGTGTATTATTAGCCTTAGCCTTTCACTTGATTATAAAGCCTTTGGAGTAAAGAGTCGATGACTTTGGGTCAGCTCCCCAAATATTTATGAGGGCCAATTAAGTGTCAAGTACTGTGCTAAGTAATTAGTAGGAATGAAGTTATAAACCTCATCTTTCAAGGAATGTACAGTCTAGTGTGGGAGGCGGAAAAGCTTCTCAATAGTCCATGGAATGCTAAATCTGATTTTACAGCAAGGGGTATGGAAGTACCAGAAAAGAGATAGAGGTTAGTTCTGATAGTGGGTGGAAGTGAGAAAACCTTCAGGGAGTCCTCTGTGCCAAGGGAAAAGGGATATCAGAAGCCCTGAGATAGGAATTACAGGGCCTGGGGAGTGTGGTCACGATGAGGGGAATTTCTGGGAGATGAGGTTACAACTGCTGAGTCCCACCTGTGAACATCCTTGAATTCTATACTAAGAAGTCAACGTTTTACCTGTGGGCCAGGGAGATATGGAAGGCGTTTAAGCAGGGAGGAGCCTCAGACCAGCAGCCCTTCTATACTAAGCACCCGGTACTAAGTCAATAGGCATCAATTAATTACCCAGTGTCATGACTCATGTAAGAGAAACAGACAACATCAAAAGTTGTAACCCTGGATCCAGGGATAATGGAGTTGATAGGTCACTGCAGAGTAAACAGGGCTCGCTCGGAAACTTGGGATTGGTTGTCAGTGGAGGAGGAATTAGATTTATTCTCTGAGATGCTGGAGGGCAGTATTAGATCAGGGAGGCAAAGCCACAGGGACACAGATTGCTGCCCAGTAGGCTGGCCAGCTCTGGAGCTGTTAGAGCTCTCTGGAAATTGTTATTTGAAAAGTATCAATTAGGTAAGACATTGTTGGTGGGACGACTCCTTGTCAGGAAAAACATGGAGGGAATTCATGCACGAGAGGCAAAGTTGGGATTCAGTCTGTGGGTCCCAGGAGGCTGGTCCAATGAGCCGCGCCAATCTGTGATGAAGTCTTTACTAATCGCTGGGAGAATGAGGAAAGGGAGGGTTGCATAGTCAGTTTCCAGAGAGCCGAAGTTTTCCATTGAAACGACAGTCCTTTGCGTGCAACTGATGACTTGCTTTCTTCTTTTTTAGTGTTAACATTAACACATTTCTCCTCTTCCTAAATGATGTTGAGGAGAGACGGTAATTTTTTGTTTTGTTTCTTTTCGTATCTTTCCTTGGTGAGATAAAAAACTGTCAAGCGTCCCACGCCACCCCCATTTCCTTTTTGGGCATTGATGGTTTGTGATCTCTCTAGGCTGGGAACCACTGGGCTCCCAGGAGAAGAGGCTTCAGGGGGCTCTGCATCTGCCCTCAGGAAGGGGGGGTGTAGTACTGATGAGTGAGATTTGAAGACGTTTAGGGGGAGCCATGAAGAGTGGGAATTTCCGTGCACTGGATAAAGGTCAATATGCAAGCGAGTATGGTCATTCTAACTCTTCCTTCCATGGGGCTGGGGGCTTCCAAGGCCCAGGGTGCTCTCTCTGTGCAGAAGGCCCAGCCACCTCCTTTCTCCCGTACACTTTTCCCTTCGTACGGCCACGGCCTGCAGAGGAGGAGGAGGACACCACTTCTGCTGAGGGTTTTGGGGAGAAACCTTCTCTGGTTGTTTCTGTTCCTTTGTTGAGATCAAACCAGGTTCGTTTTGCTGGGAGTGAGAGGCCAGAGCTTTGGCAAGAAACGAAGCTTGCTTGACCTGCCATGCCTGGGGCAGGTGGGGATGCGTGGTTGAGTCTAGGATAGGACTGGGTGTTTGGAGACCTGGGTCTGGACGGCACTCTCTTAATCGTCTCCCTTTTGGACAGTGGTCTCTAAGGCCCCTTCTGTCCATAGTCCAGTCTGTGACATCGTCAGCGTGGACCATCTAAGGCAAACACCATCACTGGGCAAAAAGCGAAGGGTCCGTAGGACTCTTCCGGTCCAGTAGCTTGGGGTGGTGGGTGAAGTGGGAGAGGTTAACCAATGACCTTCCAAGTGGAAGGAAGTAAAGAGTTAATGGGGTTATATCAGGAGCCTCCATTAAAATGCAGACATCCTCAGGTCTCCTTAAGGGTCAGAGTTGCCTTCACAGCTGGCCATTCCAGGTAGTTTCCCCTCTTGAGTGTACCCAAGGGACAGACAGTTCTGTGATCTTAGGAGCAGGAATGTTGGTCAGGCAGTGAGTCAGTCAGAACACAGAGGTTTTGTCTTTGTTTTCTAACTCTACAAAACAACACGAAGGAATTGGTTTAAAAGAAAAAAAAAAGCAAAAACATATATAGCACACTCTCTTCTCTCTCCACTTGGGGTTGGAGGAAAGAGTCCGAAGGCCTGATTTGAGTCCCTCAGTCATCTGTGATCAAGTTATCTGACAAGTCCTGTAACTATACCTAGTCCCTGTTGGCCTGGGACTTTCCTGGTTTTAGCACTGAAAGTCCCACATCGTGGGAACCTGCTCAGTGCTGGGCAAACCAGGACAGCTGGTCACCCTAACAACGGTACCTGAGTTTTCCACTTGTAAAATGGGAATAATTCTCTTGCCCCAGCTGCCTGTACTGTGAGAATCAAATGAGGTGACAGATGTGAAAGTGCTTTGAGATTAATTCTAGACAAATTCAAGTGGCTGGACTGGACGTGCCGTGAAAGCCATACCCCTGTGGGTTGGTACGTGTTCTGCCTAGCACACTTTGCCGCTGTGGAACCTATTCATCTTTCAAGCTGCTAATGTATGTTGTTCTCTGCAATGCTTCCTGTAATGGCCCAGGTAGAACGGATCTAGCCTTCCTTTCTTTCCTGCTGTACTTGCCATCCAAATACAGCAGACTCATGACTTCATTATCCATCATTTACTCCTCCAGCTAGACTGAGATCTCTTTAGTGGTAGGGGCCCTGCTCCCAGCATGATAGCTAACACAGTAGCTGTTTGATACATGTTTGCTGAATGAAGGAGTGGTTTTAAATTTCTAAGATATATGTTATACCGCATGTTTCTTGAACCTCCAGAAACTGCATACAGTTTTACATGTGTGATATGTGTTTCTGGCCCTGTCACTTTCTTTAGGGTCCTGTGGCTAAGATTACCTGATGCAGCACAGAGATCCAGATGGGGACCTGAGGTCTGGCCCCTCCAGCCAGGGTTTCTACAGACAGAAAGCATTTCGGAGGCACGTTTGATCCCCAGGCCACCCCATAATGTGAGACGCAGGTATCACCAGTTCGTGGCAGCTCACAGTAAACCACATCTGGTCTCGTAACGTAGGACCATCTGCCAGCAGCAGGCACATGGCTCTGTGTCAGACACCTCGGAGATGCTTGCCAACAGATAACGGAGGGAATGAATGAAAGTCTTCCCACCATTAACAGAGGGAGTGGAAACACCATTCAGGATGAGAGCCAGCCACTGGCCTCATCTTGGCCACCTCTGGTTCAGTGAAAAGAAGAAAAGCTGGGCTCGTTCTAAGGACTGGCCAGCGGAAGACAGATGTCAATGTGAAAAGAATGTTGGGCAGACCAGCAGGACTATTATTTACTTGTGGACTTCAAAATACATAAAGGTCATAATGTAGGAGAATGATCTCCTCCAGTTATAGAGAATGGCTCCTGGGGAAGAAAGGCACGCTCTGATCTCCCATGTCCCCACCCCGGGCCTGAACCTGTCTCCAGCGCTCTCTCGCTCGCTCGCTCGCTTGCTCTCTCTCTTCCACTTCCACCTCCAGCCCCTCATCTCTTCCTTTAGCAGCTCTATGCCTAAGTATCTTGTATAATGGGATTCCATGAGAGATTTTCTATGAGAAAATGATTCCCTTGCAGAAAAACAGTGATAACACAGATGGAAAAAGAATGCATGAATTACCATCTCTTTCACTCTTGTACTGTATGCTTGCTGTGTCTTTTACCTGAAATACTTTTCTCCCCATCTTGCTCGTAGATATTCTCCCCACTGGTTCAAGGCCCTGTTCAGGGACTGCTGCTTCGTGCTAGAGGCCTTGCTAGAACTTCCACCCTGGGAAAGGGCAAGGTATTAACCCCTACCTGCATGGTTTTCCCACGTTGCCTTACCTATTGATTGTTCAGTCAGTGGATCTATCTGTCCATCTATCTGTCTGTCTTTATGGTACTTCCTCTCTTCTTTGGATTAGTGTTAGTTGTTACTGGGTTGTATCTCCTTTCTTTCCTTCTCCCTTAACTGGGACAGCACTCAAAAATTTCAGTAGTTCACACAAAAATCACGATTACTAGTTTCTTTTGAAAAGTGAGACGATCTGGCAATATTCCCATATGGCAGTATTAGACCAGAACTGAGTGGAGGCCGTCCCCTCTAGATAGGCATATACTCTTTCGTTCACTAAGTCCCCACCATGTCCTAGGATACCCCAGAGACCGTCACTTCTCCATCTACAGCGTAGTGTAATGGATAAGAGCACAGGCTCTGAAGCTGGACTGCCTAGGTTCAAATTCTGGTTTGGCCATCTGCTAGATGTGTGACCTTTGATAATTTACTTAACGTCTCTGTGCCACTGATTGTTTATCTGTAAAATGAGGTTCTTTTTTTGTTGTTGTTGTTGCAGTACGCGGGCCTCTCAGTGTTGTGGCCTCTTCCGTTGCGGAGCACAGGCTCTGGACCCGCAGGCGCAGCGGCCATGGCTCACGGGCCCAGCCGCTCCGCGGCATGTGGGATCTTCCCAGACCAGGGCACGAACCTGTGTCCCCTGCATCGGCAGGCAGACTCTCAACCACTGTGCCACCAGGGAAGCCCTAAAATGAGGTTCTTAATAATACCTACGTCATTGGGTTTTTGTGAGGGGATTACATGAATTAGGGAATGCATATGCGAATTTAGAGGGTCTTGCCATATATAGCAGGTGCTCAATAAATATTAACTATAATTATTATTTACCCTAAACTGTGGTTTTGTTTCCTCATGCCTCTGTTGAAAATGAAGAAACCACATACGGGTTTCCCCTGGTCCATTTCATTCATTTTCTTTTCCTGGCCCCCGGGGGCATGTAAGCTGCAGTCTCTGCATTAGATTTTGGGATCTAATCTTGGGAGTGCCAATGTCATGATTTCTGCCTCTTTGCTTTCCTTAAAAGTACTTACTTTAGTGCTTTGAGGATACTATACGGGGGATGTTGGTAGAGTTCAGCTGCATGATCACGGTCATATACTTTCACGCTGCTCCTAGGATAATCACTGGTAACAGCGAAAGGCACTATTAAGTCCCTTTAAGAGTTGGTTGATTTAATTTGTATTATATGGTCTATGCAACAGGACTAGTATTTCCTGGTTCTCTGAAGTAGGCAGAGCAAACACATCAACTGACTTGATAACCTGCTCATAAAGTCACAGTATACATGGAAGTTGGCTGGGTAGAAATCAGTCCATGTGATATGCAATCAATAGGAGTTTCCTACAAGGTAAATTTTTTCTTAGGCTCTGTGGGACAGTTGGCCCTTGCTTTACTGAACTGTACCTTGAATTATAGGTGGGGAGAAATAAAAAGCAGTAAGAGGAAAGAGACTGGAGTGGGGAAAAGTAGTGTTTATGGGACTCAAGGAGACTGGCTTGACTAGTACTATGATTTTTTTTTTAACATCTTTATGGGAGTATAATTGCTTTATAATGGTGTGTTAGTTTCTGCTTTATAACAAAGTGAATCAGTTATACATATACATATGTCCCCATATCTCTTCCTTCTTGTGCCTCCCTCCCTCCCACCCTCCCTATCCTACCCCTCTAGGTGGTCACAAAGCACCGAGCTGACCACCCTGTGCTATGCGGCTGCTTCCCACGAGCTATCTGTTTTACATTTGGTGGTGTACATATGTCCATGCCGCTCTCTCACTTTGTCCCAGCTTACCCTTCCCCCTCCCCGTATCCTCAAGTCTGTTCTCTAGTAGGTCTGCGTCTTTGTTCCTGTCTTGCCCCTAGGTTCTTCATGACATATTTTTTTTCTTTTTAGATTCCATATATATGTGTTAGCATACGGTATTTTTCTCTTTCTGACTTAACTTCACTCTGTATGACAGACTCTAGGTCCATCCACCTCACTGCATACAATACATATAACTCAATTTCATTTCTCTTTATGGCTGAGTAATATTCCATTGTATATATGTGCCACATCTTCTTTATCCATTCATCTGTTGATGGACACTTAGGTTACTTCCATGTCCTGGCTATTGTAAATAGAGCTGCAATGAACATTTTGGTACATGACGCTTTTTGAATTATGGTTTTCTCAGGGTATATGCCCAGTAGTGGGATTGCTGGGTTGTATGGTAGGGAGGCAAGAATATACAGTGGAGAAAAGACAGCCTCTTCAATAAGTGGTGCTGGGAAAACTGGACAGCTACATGTAAAAGAATGAAATTAGAACACTCCCTAACACCATACACAAAAATAAACTTTAAATGGATTAAAGACCCAAATGTAAGGCCAGACATTATCAAAATCTTAGAGGAAAACATAGGCAGAACACTCTATGACATAAATCACAGCAACATCCTTTTTGACCCACCTCCTAGAGAAATGGAAATAAAAACAAAAATAAACAAATGGGACCTAATGAAACTTCAAAGCTTTTGCACAGCAAAGGAAACCATAAACAGGACCAAAAGACGACCCTCAGAATGGGAGAAAATATTTGCAAATGAAGCAACTGACAAAGGATTAATCTCCAAAATTTACAAGCAGCTCCTGCAGCTCAATAAGAAAAAAGCAAACAACCCAATCCAAAAATGGGCAGAAGAGCTAAATAGACATTTCTCCAAAGAAGATACACAGACTGCCAACAAACACACGAAAGGATGCTCAGCATCACTAATCATTAGAGAAATGCAAATCAAAACTACAATGACGTATCACCTCACACCGGTCAGAATGGCCATCATCAAAAATCTAGAAACAATAAATGCTGGAGAGGGTGTGGAGAAAAGGGAACCCTCTTGCACTGTTGGTGGGAATGTAGATTTTTTTTTTTTTAATGTTCTTCCAGAGGAATAAATTTCATTCCCATGGGAATAGGGAATATGATTAAGAGGCCATTATGCTCCTCTTCTGCTAGATGTCTGTGCTGAGGAGGGATGAATAATATATGTAAATTTCCCTGCCTGACTTTCTTTTGTTTGAGAACTGCTGGCTTACTACCTCCATCTAGTTGGGAGGAAGTGGCTCCTTTGCTTAGGGATTCACCTGGGCCTTTGTCCCTTACTCTCCATAGA